TTAAAAATAACCATCACAATAAGAAATTGCCTTATTTGAAAGACCAATTGAAATGAAGTCATAAAAAGAAATTAACGGCAACCAAAATATTGATTGAAAGTAATACCAAGGTACAAAACAATTATGTCAATGAAATGGCCTTCGCAAAGCTTCTAATTAAAGTTAATGACATTATATGTATATGCATATGCACAAAATAGAATAGTCAAAATTAATTTCTCCATAAATGTAAAAATTCTAATTCTCAACATTGATGTATCAACCAACTAGCTAATGGCATTTATACTATATAAAAAATCTTCGTTTTTCTCCCAAATTTAAAGCAATGACAGCCAGCAAAATAAAGAATAATTAAGCTCAATAAAAGTTGCAATAATATCTATAAATGAAAATAAACTCTCTGCACGTTTATCTCCATAAACTCTCTGCACGTTTCGCAAAAATTGATATCTATAAATGAAAATAAAGAATCAATATAAAATTGAAAACACAGATAGGTCAGAACTAAAACTGACACAAAAAAAACTATAAAGATAATGTATAGAAACCCAACATTAAAAAATATAATTGCAAACAATAAACTTTACGGCCAAGAATATATTATAATTGCTTCTCACGTTGATATGAAGGATTTCCAAAAGTAAAGGAAGATTGATGGCAACCAAAATGAATCAAGGCAAATGTTAAAATCAAACACTTCAACAGTGGATGTTTCATCGTAAATTGATTAATGAGTAATAATTAAGTAATCAGAAATTAAACAATACAAGCTATTTAAAACAAACAGTAACTTAGAACTTCAATATTTTAAATATATAAAAAATATTTCAATGGTCATTAATGAGCTTTTGAATGCTATTAACATTATTAAGATTCTGAAATGTATTTTAAAAACGGACACACCACATAAAATAATAATACGTTGAACTATAACAATAATACCAAATAAATTAGTCTGGAGGTTTTTATTTTCGAACACTAGCAGTAATTTCCCAAACGTTAGCAACAAATTATAAACATATAAAAGTACCAACAATATTTAAAGCAGTTGAAATTGAA